TGGTGCGCCCAGTCATACGTTTGCTGCACACTGATCCTCATGCTTGGAGATATCAGTGGTGTGATAATTCGAAATGCCCCACTGATGAAGCCACACCACAGATGCATCCTGTTGCCCATGTTGCCTGCATCTATTATGATACTACCTCGCGATTGCCGTGTCCCGACTACCTAATCCCTTGTCCCTGGCTCTCTGGGGATGTCTCTTGTTTGACTCGTGGTGCATCAGCTGCTGAAACCACACACTCACCCACAGACTCCTATAGTCTGATTGATTATGTCGCTGAGCCCGGTCCCAAGTCCGGGCGGGAGGTCACAAAGGGTTGCGCATCTTTGTTCCTTGTTGACACTGTTCCTGAGATCGCTGTTCAACTTTGTGATGACCTCTCTGAGCCGAGGGTTGGGCGCTCCACACGCCCTGGATCCACTTGTCATATCTCTGCTTGGACCTATGCTTGCTGTCCTGGCTTTAGACTTGTGGAGAAGCTCGGACGAATCCTCTTACGTGCTGCCTCTAGGGGCCACATTTGCATCGACTCCATCAATACTCATCCTTTCCCCCGTCGAAGTTCTGAGGACGCCCTTAGTGATTGTCCTCTGACCCCCCTGGATCGATCCTCTGCCTTGGGTTATAGCGCAGGTTCCGTACCATGATGATTGCGCCTCCTCTCCGATTACCCCTGGCCAACAGGAGCACCTCCCACCAGCCCAAAGTACGAAGTGTGGTCTGCATCGTCGCACATCCGGCAAGGACTGCAAAACATCACAACACGGCCCACTGGTCAGCTGGTTCAGGTGGACTGCTCTCCTTCAGCTACCGCTCCTAGGTCAAGGCCATACACTCTCCCAGAAAAGAGCCTACAATCGTGCTTGTCAGCGTGCGGCTCTTAGTCCCTTGCAAGGCACCTTTTATCGGGGGAAGTGGTGTTCAACTCACACGTTGAATTGTCGACGGCTTGCTTCTCCTGCCAGTGTCTCGCAGTGCTCCCAATCTTCTAAGCTGTCCTCCTGCTGCACCAGGCTGAAGGTTGTTACTTACAATGTAGGGGGCTTGTCCTCTGCTGCGTACAGCGAGCTCTTGCAGTTTCTTTCCACACTCCCACCTGCGAGTAAGCCAGATGCGCTCTTTCTGCAGGAAACTCACTGGAAGGAGGATACTCAATATGCTACGCCGGGCTGGCATGTCGTCGCGTCCAGCACCGCCTCCCCCCAAGCTGGTGGAGTCGCTGTGCTGATCTCGGAAGCCCTGTGTTCTCCTGATTCCATCCTCTTTACGGCACCCATCAAGGGAAGGCTCCTTCATTTGAGATTGTGTCTTGAAGGTTGCACTGTTGACCTGATCAATGTCTATCAGAAGGTGTTCAGTACCTCATTGGCTGTTGAAAAAGGAGCTGCTCCCAATGTCACGCAAAACAAATTCGCCGAGAAGTTTGGAAAGCTTTGCAAGACTTGGTCAGATCCCTACCTCTTAGAAATGTCCTGATTCTTGGGGGCGACTTCAACACGCCGGTTGAGGTTGTACCCTCATTGGTTGGCAACCGAGCGCGACTTATCCATACACCCTCCCCTCCGGATGCGAGTGTGCTCAAGGATATTTGCGTTGACTGTAACCTTCTCCATCTTAACTCCTGGTCCAGGACGGCTAAGGCGACATACAGATGTGAAGGTCACTCATCTCTGATAGACCACGTCTTCATAAGACATGGACTTGGGGACACAGAAGCCCGACGCGCGAGCCCTGTCGCGTGGCCACTCTTCAAGTGGCGCCAAGGTGGCTTTCATATGCCGGTGTTTGCGTCTGTGAATCTACCTCTTGTTCGAGGCCTGGCACGCCCGGCTCGCAAAGCTGCACCCATCTTGGACACGCACACACTGTCCCAAGTCTGTCGTGACGACACGGACCCTCGTATTGTTACCTTGAATGCCAGGGTTGCCTCTTTTCTGCTCTCCTCTCCGAGGGCCACCGTGCAGGACATCAATCTTTGTATGAAGGATGTTGCTGTGGAGCTTTTCCCTGGTAAAAGACATCAGGGACGTGTGGTACCATGGCAATCCACCACAGTTGCCACATCTGTGAAGGCCATGTGGGATGCCTACCGTAACTGGCGGGGCACCTCGACTTCTGCCAGGCGAAGTATTTGGACTGCATGGGCGGCCTTTAGTCGTTTTCGCAAAGCACATCGAGCCTTTCGCCAGGCTGCTCGGAAGTCCAAGACCGCATGGTTCAGGGCTCAGGTTGATACCATGGAGACCGCTGCTCGTAAAGGTGACACGCGGGCTCTCTTCCAGCTTGCCTCACGTCTCTGTCCCAAGCAGCGTCGCAGTCGACTCCAGTTACGAGGACCCAACAACGAGATTCTCTCACATGGGGAGCAAGCCCGCACCCTGCAGCAATATTATAACTCTTTGTATGCCACTGCATATCCGGAGACCTCACTCGAGGAGCACACGGGATACGAAGGCACTGCTGCGTGCCAGACGGTGGCCTTGCCACTATCTCAGCTTGATCTTGCATCGGTGGAAGGTGCCATTTGGCACATGTCACCGCACAAGGCCGCACCCAAGCATCTTGCGCACACCTCGGTCTGGGTCGCTTGTTCCTCCACTGTTGCTCCATGGCTCCGTCTGCTCCTTAGCACTGCTACTGCGATCCCGCAAGAATGGAAGGACACCTGGATGTCGTTGCTTCCCAAGATCACATCGCCGACACTACCACGCCATCTGCGACCCTTAGGCATTTCTGAAATCTCTGGCCGCGCTGTCTGCGGCCTCATCCAGGCTAAGCTGAAGCCCTTTGTCACCAGTTACCTTCAGCTGCATCCTCAATTCGCCTACTTGGCGGATCGATCCACTGATCAGGCCCTTCTTCGTGTGCTCACCCACTGTCTGGAGGGACAGGCATACTGTGAACCGCCTAAATATGACGTCCTCAAGCAGAGATGCGCCGCCAGCATGTCACAGGACTTGCCCTCAACTGGTGCTGGCAAAAGGCGGCGAGCTGGCGGATCGATACAGCTGTCGTTAGATTTATCACAAGCTTTTGACAGGCTTGAGTGGCCGTTGATCCGTGACGCCCTCCAAGAGGCCTCAGTACCTGCTGAGCTGTATGATCTGATTGTCCTTTGGCATCGTGATCTTTACTATCATCTACGTATTTCTGATGCTACCGCTCAGGTGACCGTTCAACGAGGCGTTAGGCAGGGCTGTCGTATAGCCCCCTTGTTGTGGTCGCTAGCAACTGCTGTGGTGATGGTACGCACTGATCAGGCTATTACTACGGGATGGACAGCCAAGAGCCTGACTGCTTTTGCAGACGACTTCCATATGGGAGAGCATGTTCGTAAGGTCACTGATCTTGACCGAGCACTTTGGCGCTTCGGCTGCTTCCTTGATCAACTGCTTGAGTCGCATCTTCTGGTCAATGAGAAAAAATCTGCTTTCCTACTTCGCCTTACCAAAGGTTTTGCGCCCTCTTGGGTCAAGAGCCATATCCGTAAGGGGTTGGAGGGCCGGGTGTTGCACTTCACCACGCCTGCAGGTCGGAGGCTTGACATACCGCTCAAGGAAGATCATGTCTACTTGGGACTCACAATCTCGTACCATCAGGCCGTGTCTTTGTCGGTGGAACATAGAATCACTGCAGCTTGGAGTGCTTGGACCAAGTTGAGACCCCTCCTGACCTCGGCCTCTGCTCCTGCACTTGATTTGCGGCTTCGCCTCTGGAGGGCCTGCCTGCCGCCTACGCTTCTTTACGGGGTACATGTCCTGCCTCTCACGGGCAAGCAGCTGGGTCGCCTACAGGCTGTGTATAGCAGGCATCTCCGTGCTGTGTCTCGCTCCCAGTCGCACCTAACGCACGAAAGCACCAGAGCTCTGCATATGAGAGTTGGGGTACCCACTGTACGTGATATCCTGCTGCGGTCGCTGACCGGTCTCCGTGACCGGACTGTGCTGGCACACGATGCTGGTCTTGAGCCACAGAGCACGATCGCCAAATGTGATGAACTTGCGAATGTGCTTCTCTCCTGTTGTGATCCAGGACTTGCAGAAACTTTTGGTATTCCCTCGGGTCCTAACTCCACTCCACCTGATGTGGATCGTGATCGAGTCAGTACCTCTCTCTTCAAGTGTCCCTCTTGTGATGCCTCATTCTCTGACCTGAGAACGCTGAGAGTGCACCAAGCCTCACATCACCATACCACACAAGCCTCCAGAAACCTGGGAATTCCCTTTGACCCTGTCTCCCATGCGATCTCTGGTATGCCAGTATGTGCCTTGTGCAATCGGTCCTTCTCACGTTGGTCTGTCCTGCGTGATCACATCCAAAAGGGTCGGTGTGTTATGCTGGATCCCTTGCTACGCCCAACTGCTCTGCAGAACGTCTCTACCTCACCTTCTCCTCTGAGCTGGACCCTCCTTCTCCCTCAGAGGGTGTACGAGTCGAACCACCACCAACTAATGCCTTGCCTCCTGCTAGGGTTGTTTCAGTACCGGGCTCTGATGCACCTCCATCCCTGTGCACACCCAATGTGGCTGTCCCACCTGACACGCCACAATTGTGTACGGCATCATCTCAATTGCACATGCATGCTCCTGGCTCGGGCACCAAGGCACAGGCCAGTGATACAAAGTGGCAGATCCAGGTAGGGCTCTTATGCTCGACGCCTATTGTGCAACGTGTCGATGTTCTGCATCAGGCTAGAAGAGGAGGCTGGCAAAGCCTCATCCGGCTCCCTGGATTACGCGATGAACTTAGACACCACTGCCCGTGCTGTGGGCAGTGGTGCACGTCTGCTGCTGGAATGAAGGTGCACCTTGGTAGCGCTCACACATGCTGGCTTGAACTTCGGCCGCGGATTTTGGAGCTTGCAGCACTTATGAAAAGAGCCATCACCAAGCCCTGTCCATACTGCTTAGAGGATGTCTTTGACAAGCAGACACATTGGAGGCGTTGTCATGTCATCACACTTTGCTGTTTCATAGAAGCCTACGCCAAGCGCCATGACTCCGACTCCCTCGAGTCCTGCTCCTCCTCTACAGGGCAACCTGTCCCAGAATGCCCAAGAGCAGGAGAAGGCCATGTTCCAGCATCTGGTCTCCTTCTGTCATCCCCCAGTGTCGGACCACAGCTCCGGATCGCCTCCGTCGACCAAGCGGCCTCGACAAGATCAAGTGTGGCAGGGAACGGGGGACGCGCAGATGCCTCAAGCGGGCATGGAGGGACTGGGCTCTCAGTCGAGCACGGGCCGGAATCAAGCCAAGGGCAAAGGCAAGAACAAGGGCAAGGGCAAGGGCAAGGGCAAAGGCAAAGGAGGGCCCCACAACAAACCAGTCTACTGGCATTCCTCGGGCGAGATGAACCGACAGCTACAGGAATGGGATGCTCAGCAATGGGGAGCCCCACCGGTGATGACTGCCTCCTCGCAACCTCCCATTCTGGGGCAAATGGCCAAATTCCTGTTGAGGCACGAGCGACAACTACAAGCATTCCAGCAGGACACGAAGCTGTTCTTCTTCTTTCGTCCGGACCCTCCTGGATCGGTGCTACCGTTCATGGTCAAGGTATCCCAACGCTGGAGAGAGCTGGTCGACGAGGGCAAGGTCCAGTCCACTCTACGGGAGACGATGCTTCGCGAACTGATCCAGGAGCTCAAGAGCCGGATCAAGGGATTCAGCTCTCCTGCCATGAGTGCGATGAGGGAGAAGGCAGCCGAAATGGGATGGGTGGACTCGCAGGGCAGCTGGAACTACATGCAATGGGATCCGACTGCCCAAAAGGAGGTCCTGATGGAGAAAACAGACAGCAGATCGGTAGGTAGACTCCATTTTGCAGGATCTGCAAGCGATCGAGGACTTGATCAACGGCAACACCATTCGTCACTTTGGCAGCCTACGTCCCATGAGCAACAATTACCAGACCCAGTGGGTACAGTTTGCTCTGGAGATAGAGCTGCGACAAGACGGCGATGTTCTGTGGAAGCTCTTCAACTCCCTGATCAATTGTGCAGTCCTTCACCTCATCCAGACTCCGCCGGGACCGTCCGGTGACCTCGGGCCTTGCTCAGGCTCTTCAGCAGTTCCTGTGGGAGCAGGCCTCATTCCTTCCGCCTGCATTCGCTTGATCTTCTGAAGGTTCGCCTAGCCAATCCCACTTGTAAAACCTGCTTTATGAACAGTGTCCTGCTTGCATTGCTCTATGTTCACCTTCGCATGGGCTCCCATAGTGAGGCTGACTTGGGGCAGCTACGTCATGTTCATGGAGCGCTTTGCGCGCAGTCAGCCCCTCTGGACATCAGCAAACTGCTTACCTGGGTTATGCTAATAGGACCATGGGCGATGCCATACCAACAGCATGATGCTGCCGAGTTCCTTCATCACCTTATGCCCAGGCTGCGATCTTCACTACACACAGGTGCGTGGCTAGCCAGGCAGGTTGCAGCCGATGTTTGTCAGGAGGTTGACACTGCTCCCTCCTTCCTCCCTGTGCTGCTTCCTATGTCAGGGACTGCAAGCCTTCAATCTTACATTGATAAGTGGCATGCTCAGGATGATGAAGCCATTACACATGCCTATACTTGTGCCACACGGATCGTCCTCTTCCAGCTGATGAGGTTCAATGTTCTGGGGAGGGGCCGCAACAGGCGTACAGTCAAGGACTCAACATCGGTACAGGGAGTATTGAATGATATTCATGTTCCCATTTTCATGGACACTCATACCAATGTGGTCAACCATTGCATCTTTGAGGTGGTGGCAGCTATCGTTCACTACGGCGCTCGTTCTGATTCGGGGCACTACCGATGCGTGTGGAAAGCAAAAGACTGCTTTTGGATCACTGAAGACGGTACATGTGCCCAACCATGCACCGATGCAGATCTGGCTACCCTTTCCAGCAATGCCTATCTCATTTGGGCAGTTCGGAAAGATCAAAGCTCAGGTCATATCTCCTCAACTTCGATGAGTACGTGATGGAGCAACACTGACGGCTATTATGGCCTAGTATCGATGCGTAGTTCTGCGTCCACTGAGACGCCGAAGCCCAAGGCTGGCTTTGCTACAGACTTTTCGCTAGGCAAACTCGCTTTGCTGCGTCCGGAAGAAGAATGTTACTATGTATATATGTATATATATATATATAGATATGTATATACGTCGCTGGGGCAAGATCAGACCAGACATAGATCTCACCTCGCCGACCGTCGTCGCCTCAGAGTGAAGCTTCTCAAGGGCCTCAGTGGCTTGTTATTTTTTTTGTGGCTATTGCCTTTTATGACAAGTGTTAAAGAGAGGATCGGGTTCTTAATTCTTGTGTTATTAGAAATATAGATCCTATATGGTTTTAAGCGGGAAGCAAGGAACCAGTAGGTGTTGATCGGGTCTAGAATGGGTTTAAAGCATCTAAGCAAGGGAAGAAGAGTACTAGTCAGGTTAGAGGTAAACGTCCCAAACAACCCCCACACTAGGTACTGATCGGGTGTAGTATGGGTTTAAAGCATTTAAATACAGGAAGAAGGGTCCTAGCCAGATTACAGCTAATAGTCCCAGACAGCCCCCGCCCCAGCCTCCTTCCCCCCCCCCCACGTCTCGTTCAGGCAGGATGTCAGGTACTAATCGACGCCTTCGTCGTGCGCCGGGATGGCGCCAGAACACCAGAAGTCTGCGCCGGACGGCAGCAGGCTAAAGACCCAAGTGCACCGGGATGGTGCTGGGGCACACCCTCAGCGCACCGGGATGGTGCCGGGTGTCAAAGACCTCAAAGTGCGCCGGGACGGTGCCGAGGCCAACCCACAGTGCACCGGGACGGTGCCGGGTCGAAAATCCTGAAAGTGCGCCGGGAGGGCGCCTGGGTGGGCCCGCAGTGCACCGGGAGGGTGCCGGGCTCAAAAGACCTCAAATGAGTGCGCCGGGAGGGGCTGAGGCCTACCCTTGGTGCACCGACGGTGCCGGGTGGCGACGACGCTGCGGAGAGCGGTGACGACGACGAGACGACGACGACCCGGACGACGACCATGACGATGACAAAGAGGACGACTGTCAATCTGAGGTCGGGGGCATTTGGACATGTGCACATAGAGGAGAGAAATGTGCAGAGTAAAGCACGGTGCAATTAGTAATAGTAATGACAACGTAGAACATAAGCCGATGTCATGGTAGCAGCAGCAAGTGTAGCCATGTCATGCGCAAGTCAAGTTCTGCGAGACAGAGGCTAAGTAGGATTTAAGGACTTTTAAACTAGTGTACACTTGGCTGCACCTTTCGTACTATGCAGTTATGGACCAATGAGAATATACCTCAGCGAGATAGAGTTGTTATGACGGTATCTTGTACTATTCACACCCAAATTGATTCTTCTGTCCCTACTTTCATCCACCCGAACTACTACTGCTGCTGGTGCTGCTAAGCTACGAGACGATTTCGAAGCACCTACTTTCCTGCATTTGACCTGGGATACCTTGCCGATAAGACAATCATGCAGGCTCCGGGCCTCCTCCAGCCTTGACCTGGGCCAGGCCTCGAGTAGTTGTCTTTCGTTACAGCTTAGCACTGCAGGCTTCACTCTGAGGCGACGACGGTCGGCGAGGAGATCTATGTCTGGTCTGATCTTGCCCCAGCGACGTATATACATATCTATATATATACATATATATATATATATACATACTTACACATGCATATTTACACATACATCTGCACAGACACACATGCATGCATACACATGTACGTACACACACCCACGTACTCTTCTACGGAGCAAACCCTCTCACAAGGTAAAGTTTTCATGAACCACGTAGCACATGTTCATGTTTCGATCAGAAACCTTCGCCCGCCAGTTCCGCTAGGCATCTCAGGAAACATGTTTTGATTGAGTTTTTGGCCACAAATTCAATCTGCACCGTAATCAGATTTCATGTAGAGAACATGCTTGCAATAATGGGCAAAACAAACATGTTACGAATTCAGTTGCTACCTACGGTTTTTGCCCGCAGTACGTGCAAAACAAACATCCTCCAAATCAAAGTTCTTACCTACGACCTTTGCCCGCAAGCCCTGCCGTGATCTTCCCAAAAAATAAAATCCAAATCAAAGGTGTTACCAACGACCTGTGCCCGCAAGCCTTGCTTGGAGTCCCCCGTTTGTGGTTCTTTGTTTTCTTTGCCTGCACAATGTTCTGTTTGTGGGTTTTGCAGGGTGTTACTGAAACTTTTTGCAGACTATTTTTTTGGCTCTCAACACGCCGTCTGTGGACCCACAGCCCACCCGGACCCTCATGCCCTCATGCTTGAGCAGCAGCCAGGAAAGTGATTGATCTTGGTTGGTTAAAATTTTTTGGATTGTACACTGGAATTTTGCATGGTAGCGGAGCTTCGGTTCCTGAGAAAGGGAAGAAGTGAGAAAGACTGATTTTCGGTCAGAGAGGAATTGGCGGTGAACTGAAGCTGTTTCCATCTCCACTGTACCATGGAGAGTTGGAGAAATGGGATGACTGGTCGTGGCAGATGAAAAGGTACGTAGGAATGTGCAAGCCAATGGCCAAATCACTGATGGATGAGATTGAGCTGAATGCCATTCCTCGAAGGTGGTGACGGATGGACTATGTGAAGCTTATGATGTGCAACAAACGAGGACTCCGAACAACCAAATGTCACTGTTTGCCCGTGCGACGAATCTCTTGAATGAGATCATTGCCTCTCGATTGCGGAGTGATCAGTTGGAGAGTGACCTGAGTGATTACATCATACTGAAGAACCGACATGAGAAGACGACTGGAGTGCCGCTTGACAATGACCTGTTCATTACATTGATCATGCAGAAGACGACTGGTCACTGGTCCATTGCAGCAGCACCTGAGATTGAATGTCAGGAATATCAGCACGTTCACTGAGGTATTGGAGATTGTGTGCAGCTACATCAAGAGCAGACATCTTGTAATGCCAAGCAGGAATGACGGTCAGGTGCGCTGAAGGGTAGAAAAGGAAAAGGAAAGAAAGCAAAAGGAATGTACAAAGGAAAGGGAAAGGGATACAAAGGAAAAAGAATGTACAAAGGAAAGGGCAAAGGAAAGAGCAAAGGATACAAAGGCAAGAAAGGAAAAGGAATGAGTTTCGCATCTGGTAAAGGAAAATCGAAAGGAAATGGAGGCTTCTTGTGTGGCGATCCAAGCCACTGGCGCAAGGAATGCCCTAAAACATAAAGGAAATGGGCGATGGCAAGACACATTGTCATTCCTCGTGGCTTTGCCTACCACATGCGCGGAATTCTGAGGCATGTCAATTGAAGGACTACGAAGTCAGTCACAGATCTGGCCATTGACAAGGATCGCATTGATTCCGGAAAGACGACCATGCAGATTGATTCCAGATCGGAATCGGCTATTGTGTTTCCAGCCGGATCCATTGTTCCGAACAGGAATTGGTCGCATTGGGATGCACAGAACATGGAGATTGACAACCCAGCGATTGAAGGATAGCGATTGCCGTGTGCTTTGCTGATTGGCTCTTTTGATCTACGATTGCTGCTTCATTGGCATATTCAGACCCGTGCCATTGCCTCAACATCTTCTTCGGTGACATCTGATTGCTGAGAGCGATTGTACAGTCAACCTTTCATTGGATTTATGAAGGTTGAAGGAATTGCCACGGTTATACCGGTATCAGATTGCTGACAGCTGACTGAATTGTATAGCTCTTGTTCAGAGGTACTCTGACTTGAGGGACCGCGATTGTCAGTGAATTGCAAATTTATCAAAGACACACTGGATTGCCGTAGCTGCCTCCATATCCGTATTGGCCGTCTTGATTGAATTCTCGTTCTTCGTTTCGTTGTACATTGTCTCCGTTATTGCCTTCTACTGAGATTGAGAATGATGCTTGATGTGACATTGGCACTCTGTGCATTGTCAAGGGACCGTGTTAGATTGCACTGCATCATTCAAGGCCTCTACAGTGCTATGGCCCAATTGGACGCACCAACATTTGGCTCAAGTCTGCGCGGAAAGACGGAGACCGAGTGGATCTGGATTGCAAGGGATGTGTTTGCTTGCTGTGCATGACTGTCATTCTGTCAAGTGGTGTGCAAAGTATTGTACGGTATTGGTACTGAAACCTTTTATAGCGGGGGGCAGATTTGAAGTGCCCACCCAACCCACCTGGAGATAGCTAGCCGAAGGCTAGAGGTGGTCTTCGGGCTAAAGCGGGAGTTTGGCCACAACGCTACAAAGTGAGAGTTCGTGTTGTCCGTGCTACTGCTGGTAGTCCGTGAGCCAAAGCTAGGCCTTGCTACGAACTCCCCGGAGGTGTAGTGGGAGGTGGCGCGAGGATACGCTAGCTAGTGTGCCTAAGCAGTTCCAATCAGCACTCCATGTACCGATTCAGCAGTTTCCGCTGCTGGAGTTGAAGGCTGTACAACCTTTTGCATCGTGCGCTCTGTGCTTCCCGCTGCTGCCGGACTTCAGTGTTGCTCATGATCCTCAGGCGGCTGCGATCGTCTCGGATGTACCTCAGGTTGTGGCTCCTGCCCCGTCGCGTGATCACAGCCGCTCTCTCAGCCAGATTCTGCTGCGCAAGATTTTGATTCTTCTTCTTCCGATGGCGAGCTCGCAGACGTAGAGTCGGTGGGTGATGCTGAGGAGGTTTGCTTTCTTCGTGCGAAGTCAGTCATTGTTCACATAGCTGCCCCCGCCCCTTCCGGCACGGGTGTGCATTGTGGATCGACTTGGCTTAAGCCCGCCTGTGGCATGCTCTCTTCGGAGCTCGAGTTGGTTGGCTCAGTGCCAACCGGGGCGCGGCTCTGTCGACGAAGGCGTGTCAAGGGGTCCTGTGTCGGTGCGTGCGCCAGGCACGGCTCCGCTTTTGCAACAGCTCAGCGCGAGCTTCTCGCTTGTGCGTGGGTGCGGCTCATCTTTGCCATCAGCTCTGACATACCGAAATTTATGCAATTGGAAGGAAGAAAGTGATCTTGCGGTCTTGACC